GTCGCATGTGTAAACGAAAAGAGAGTGTGGGTCGTTCATGTAACAGACCCTGCAAGACGCGACTGATGGAAACTCCAATACATTTGCAAAAGTTTTGACACATACTAACACATCCGCAATTTGCTTTAATCTTTTTTTTTCTGCAACATATATATGCCACAAGAGTAAGAGTAAGCAGTCAAACTGATTTGGTACATTATTTTGCCCTTTCATTATTTCTTCTCTTTGTCTTCTCCCTCTTTTCGCTAAAAAGAAGAGAAGAAGAAATGAAAGAGGGGAAGAATAAAAAAAAGAAAAGGAAGCCGTCAAAAAGCGTGGAAAAATTAGGAACGACAGACGTGGAATTTGCGAAATACCATTTTATTAAAAGGAAAGTTTATTTAATATAAAAGAATTTGAAGAAAAAATGAAGAAGAGGCATTTAAGCAATTGTCTATCAAAAGAAAAAAAGCTTTTCGAAGCTAATATAAAAAAGTTTAAAGAACTTGAGCAATCCTCTCAAGAAAATGTGCAAAGTGTGGCTGCGGCTTCTGGTGAAACAGAAAATATGGAAGACTGCACGTCGAGTGAAGTTTTTCTTGGTGAAAGTGATCCTTTTCTGGACGAGTCTTTAGATACCGCCAGCAGTGAAGTGCCGAATGAAAATTTCGAGCAGCTGAATGCAAAGGAGGAATTGAAGTCTTGGGCGATTAGAAATAAAATTTCTCAAAACGCTCTTGACGATTTACTTAAAACTCTTCGGAAAGTTGGAATGAATGACTTACCTTTGTCCGCTAAAAGTCTCCTAAAAACTAGTCGGGAAAAAATTAATATTCAGTCCATTCCAAATGGCGAGTTTCTGTACTTAGGTATTCAGCATCATTTTATTTCAGATGAATTCGGATTTTTAGAGGCGCGAGAAGAAGTCTTAATTGACGTAGGTGTCGATGGTGTCGATGGTGTCAAACTATTTAATAGTTCTAATCGAGTTTTATGGCCTATCCTGGGGGCACTTGTAGATTTTCCTAGTGTAACACCTTTTGTAATAGGTTGCTTTTCTGGACTAAAGAAACCAGAAAATATCAATGATTTCATGGCAAATTTTACATCAGAAGCAAAATATCTTAGGGAAAATGGTATCAAAGTGGGTCCCAATCAGATCGTATTAAAGTTTGATGTTCGGGTGTTCATTTGTGATTCTCCGGCTAGAGCGTTTGTTTCTGGTGTTATGTCATTCAATGGAAAAAGCGGATGTCCTAAATGTTGTCTCGAAGGCAAATATAAAGAGAGAAGAGTATGTTTTCCCAAAGAAATTGGTGAACTTAGGTCGGATTCATCTTTTGAGCAGAGAGTTCATGCTTCTCACCACCTTGCTCAATTTAGGCATCAGAAAAGTGTGTTAGAAGACGCTGGCTTTAGAATGGTTTCTCAGTTTCCTCTTGACTCTATGCATTTGGTTGATTTAGGTGTCGTTAAAAAATGTCTTAAACTGTTCATCAAAAATGCAAATACCACAAAGATGAATGCAAATATTCGTTTCGCTTCCAGTTTTTTTCCATCTGAATTCTGTTGAATTTCAAGGGGCTTGGATGAAGTTAGTCATTGGAAAGCAACGGAGTTCAGGCAGTTCTTGCTATACACAGGCGTTTTTATTTTGAAGGATTGCGTAAGTAGAGAGTTGTACTACCTTTTCTTGCTTTTGCATAGTAGTATTCGCCTTCTTTCAAGTGAAAAATCGTTCAGGTCGGAGGCCGATATTGCTCAAAAAATGCTGGAACACTTTGTCGCCTAGTTCAGTAGGATATTCGGAGAAGAATTAGTTAGTTTCAACATTCATGGCTTACTTCACTTGTCCGAATGCGTTAAAAGTCTGGGCCCTTTGGATTCATTTTCTGCTTATAGGTTTGAAAACTTTATGCAATTTTTAAAAAAGATAATTAAAAAACCGAATAAAGTATTGCAACAAATTTTTTTAAGGCTTGATGAAAGGCAAGATCTTAAGTCACTTTCGGAGCAGACTTCTCGGTTTGGAGCATTTGACATTGATCTAAGAAAAGAAAAGGATTGTTTTTGCTACAGTAAGAAAGCGGGACTATAAAGGTAATGGAACTTGTAGGGTTAGGAGATTCAGAAGTAATTGAGTGTATGGTTTTTAGGAAAACAGAAAACTTTTTTGAAGACCCTGTTCCCTCCTTCCCTAGTCTAGGTATTGTTGTTGCAAGTGATCTCAGTTCTGATATTGTTAAAATTGAAAGGAGTGATATTGACTATAAATACTTCTGTATCCCCTATGAAAACAAATTTTTGTTCATACCTCTTCTGCATCATCTTTTCCACGACTTTTGTAATTAAGCCACACTTTCCATTAAAAAAATAATAAAATATTAATATTTAAAAATATATTTTATAATACCTCATTTGACTTCATACTATTTTTGGAAATAGAACTATTATGGCATCCCAAGCCAATGGTAAGTAGAACTATTTTTTATAGGGCATATATAGATGTATAGTATATATTTTTAACATTTTCCAGGAAACTCTGTAAAAAGATTCATTACAACTTCGAATTTTAACGATGAAGAGGATTCATCAAAGGCGGTTACCCCATCCAACAACAACGTCCATGTATCTGATGAAGGTAACTTATGTTTTATTTTTCTCAATTCTATGTACCAAAATATGTATTTCCACAACAGTCTCATCCAACAATAACGTCGGTGGGCCCAATGAAGGTAACATACACTTATACATACGTTATTTTTCTTAACATACATGTTAAATTTTTGTAGAAATATTTACAGACGTAGATGTACTTGAAGCGCTGCTGATAAAACTACAAACGATCGAAATGAATGTAAGTAGGTGCATTTCAAAACTCTCTTATATAAAGAGCCCGCCACTCTTATTTCGTAATCCTTAATACCCGTAAAAAGCTGCGAGGCACCGATGTACACATAATGCGCATATTAAACACTTTCAATTATTATACATATTATGTTGTATTGAAATAAGAGAGAATGGCATTGTGCGCTTTGAAATGTACCCTAGATATGATTTCGTTGGTTTAAATGTCATATCTCATAAACGTTTTATCCACTCATATTAGCAACAAATATTGAGCGAAAACCAATCGCTGATATGTGAAAAATTGAATTATATTATGGAAAATGTGAGTATTGCTTCATTTAATTTGTTATTTCTGAGATATCTACCTATATATTTACCTATATTTGTATTAAAATAATAAAAACTTATTTCCAATAGTCCACACCCAAATGCGAAACATCGGCACAGCACCAGTTATTACGGGAATGCAAAGTCTCGATTAAGAAGGTAGAACATTCCGTCTGTCGAATGACAGGAGAGCTGAGAGATAAGCATATGGACGATGTTGCGAGTGCATTGCCTCTCCAGACCTCAATAGCAGTGTTAAATGTGGAGGACAATCTTAAAATACCGGAGTACGCGCGGGCAATGGTAATTGAGGTGAAAATTTAAAATGTTATAGTTTTTACTTAATTTTAAAATTTGTACACATCACACCTGCATAAAATTAAAGGGGTTTCCGAAGATGTTCCGTCCGTCGTCAGACAGATTTTTACGGATAAATTGATGGGCGCCTACAACTGGGATGGCAGATGCGAAAAGCAGGCCCTGGTCAAGCTTAAGCTGTTTGATTCCATTCTACGAGGTAAGTATTTTCAATTGAGTATCATAAACTATAATTTTGTATGTATTCATTGTTTCATTTAGAAATCTTCAAACTACAAGGAAGTTTCGATTTTGAACGAGGCGTTAAAAAAGCAGTGGAACTTAGCCATCACCGGATGTCGCAAAAAAAATTTGCAAAGAAGTCGAAGAAGGAGGCTCATTAAACTTAAATTTAAAGTTAATAATTAATTAGTTTTTATTCTTTTCAACCCCTTTTTTCAACATTAACTTACTACTAGCATGAAGCTATAGCTAAAATTTTTTTTTAATGAAACAAGTATTGCCACAGATTTTTTCACAATTAATGCAACATTTTTTAACATAATTTTTTCCGTTAATTTTTATAAAAATATGGTTTACATACAGCAAAAACCAAACAAAAATTAAATTTTGAAACTTTGTGCGAAACAAGTTATACTGTTCGTTTAAATAAAAAAAATCGCAAATTAGTAGAAATATGAATGAATTTATGTAATATTTATTTGTATTTTTATGTAACATTTAGTAATTTATTCGTGTAATATTTTAATTTGATGGATCTTAACATCACCCCTGATTCCTCACCTTTGATTGTTTTTTACATCAGGCCTGAATCCTCATCTTTGATCGTTTTCTACATCAGGTCTGATCACTCAGCTTTGAACGCTTTCTACATCAGGTTTGATTGCTCAGCTGTGATTGATTTCGTCGTCAGTCTTGATTGCTCACCTCTGACTAAAACTTACATCATGAATGAAAACAGAACTTATAAGCACGAGCACGACAGCTATATGTCGACAGGGTCGATATGGTAATGTGTTAGAAGGTGATACCCAATCACACGCACACAACTCTTTACATCAGTTTTTGCACATTGTCCTTAAGAAACTGATTGCATTCCCTTTTTGACTGTGAGTGATGGTGGACGCGTTTGGCGCATAGTAGTGTTTAAAAAACTTTTCTTTTGGCGCATTAGCACATGTGTATGTGCAATATACATTTATCTGTGGACTGCAAATCTGTATAAGTACAGTGAATTGGAAACCTGTAAAAGTACAGCTAACTGTGAAGCTCAGCGCTTCATGTGGGGCGATTCTGCCTATTAATAATCTTAACCTTTGTGAAAATTTATACTTGGACACCACATTGTGTGATAGCAGCAAGAGGTCAGGTGAGTGATTATAACCTGGTTAGGGTTGTGAAATCTTTCAGCTTCTGCGCTGGTTTTGTGCTCATTACTTAAAAGTTCTGATTAAATAAAATTAAGCCTGCCGCGTACGGCAGGAAAAACTAAAGCCGCTATGGCGTCCTCGTCTCAGGGGGCGTCATCGGCGGACGACTTCGAGACTTTCTCGAGCATGAATTGTGCTAAAGGCAAACGCCTTAAAAAAGATAATGAAGCTAAAATAATAAAAATGTTAAAAACGCAAAATTTTACGCAGTTAAAACTTGACATGGGTGTAACCAGTCAGGGGAAAAATGTGGAGGAACAAAGTGAGAACGAAATGAGCATTGACATACAAACAGATAACGGGACGCTGACGAGTACCGATAGCCCGCTATTGGCACCGGACAACGGACAACAAGTAGGTACAGTGACGACAAAAGAGGCTCACACAAGTGCAAAGACTGACATAACTATGTATCCTGCCAATTTCACTGGCGTATACCTAGTATTAGTGGACTCATCACAATGCAGTGATATGATTAATGACAGAGTCACAAACGGCTTAACATTGTTCAACAAAATCAAAAACTTTAGAATAAAAGACATAGATCTCATTTTTGCCATCGGCAAAAGTTTATACAAAGTGACCTTTAAAAATGCGGCCGCAGCTAACAACTTCGTGCTAAATGAAAAAATTAAGTCTATTGGCCTCAGAGCCTTCGTACCAAAAACTGCAGTTGAAACATACGGTGTTGTGAGAGGCATCCCGACATGGTGTGAGGAAACTGAGATAATGGCTGATGCCATCTCCAGTGTACCCATCACCTCAGTCAGGCGTTTTACGCGTAGAAACCAAGATAGTGAATCTTTTTCACCCACAACCACGGTTAAAATAGGCTTTTCCGGAAAAGATATTCCGGATTTCATAATTTTCAACTACACTAAGCTCTATGTCGACTTTTATGTTCCTCCCCTTAGGCAGTGCTTAAACTGCGGTAGGTTAGGACACACACAGTTTGCGTGCAAATCTAAAAAACGGTGCATCAAATGTGGCCTTGTTACCTGTGACCTAAACTCGTGTAATAAAAAATGTATTTTATGTGGTAGCCTAGAACACGTGTCCACTGACAAGACTTCCTGCTCGATGTGGGAGAAAGAACAGTCTATAAATTATGTAAGAACTGTTAAAAAGATGTCCAGGCGCGAAACAATTAAGACCTACTTTTCAGAAAGTCAGAATCGCTTTGATTTGCTAGCTACTGAGGACACTGATTTCCCGAAAATACATGAAAACCAGGAAAATATTAAAAACAGGGATTCCAATGTAAACAAAAAGCTTACCAGAGTTAAATATAGCACAATCGCACGCAAAATAAGCCCAAGCAAAAAAGCACCAGTACAACAAACAATTAGCAGAGAAAACCGTGTCACAACCCCCAGAATTTCTGTTCTTGACAGACCAGAATACCTCAAAGGTAGGGTTTCTGAAATGGAAAAGCTCATCACCGAGCTTTTCAGCATTATTCAAAAAGCGTGTGCGGGTGAACACTTTGACGGAATACTAGGGGAGGTGCAAAATATTAAGCAAAAGTTTGACCAATGCTTAATTCAGGAAGATCTATATGCCATAAACAGGGGTACCGTTCCCCCTTGTCATGTCTAACACATGAAAATTCTCCAATTTAATTGTCAATCCTTAAAATCTAATATCAATACCATAGAGTATTACTTAAATCACTACGAGTACGACCTTGCATGCCTTAGCGAAATATTTACTGCAAATGATCAACAACATAGAAATATTTTAAATTACAACATCATAGAAAAAAATAGAGATGATGGCTATGGCGGTGTCGCCATAGTCTTAAAAAAACATATTGCGTTCCAAAAACTAAACTTTTCATCCAACTTTGATATTCTAATTGTTAAAACTAAAAATTTCCAGCCAAACCTAGTAATTTGTGCAGTGTATTTCCCTCCAAGAGTTCTAATCAACGATTTTAAAAGCGAAATTGTTAGACTTCTATCATTTCTTGAGCATCACGAAAACGTCCTAATACTTGGCGACTTCAATGCAAGGGCGACAGTGTGGGGTGACCATACTCAATCTTGCAGAGGCAACAACCTGCACAAAATCATATCAGAACACAATTTTTGGCATTTGAATAATGGCGAGTACACTTTTAAAAATGATATTTTGTCCACAAATGGATCAGTCCTTGACTTATCCTTTACAAACAGCACTATTTCCTTTGAGTGGAAGACTGACCCCATTCGTCTGGGGGGCAGTCATCACTTCCCAATCACTTTAGAGACCACTATGGTCACGCATAAAGGACATAGGTTTCTGGCCCAAAAAAAATTATTAGAAAACTTACAAAAAACCACTTTCGAGCCAAACGTTGATGACATGCATCTTCAATTTCATACAGAAATTGAAGCGGCCACCCATACACTCCGCTCAAGAAGAAGTCCTAAACCGTGGTGGACAGATGAACTTGATAAAACTTTCAGATTTCTGAAAGCAGCGTACAAGAAATGCAAATCCACTCCCTCACCCCAAAACTTTCTAGATTTAACTGAAATTAAAAAAGACTGGAAAAAACAAGTAAAGGAAGCAAAAAAGAAGAATTTCGAGAATAAAATAGCAGAATTAAACGATGCCCCTACCACAAAAAATGCGTGGAGATTTGTTAAAGCTCTTAGGGGTGATTACAAAAACTCCAACAATTCCCCATGGTCCAACGAAAACGACAAAGACTTTCTGAATTTATTAAAAAATCAAGTTCCGACCGGTAATAACTGCCTACCAATCAATAAAGAATTAATTCCGGTAAACAGCCTTGCAATATCCTTTGACGAATTACATAAAGTAATACACTCCAAAAACAGGAGCTCAGCCGGTGGTGTAGATCTTGTAACATACAAAATGCTTAAAGCCCTACCTGATGAAATGTTCAATAATGTGCGCACTGCCCTCAATGACGTTTTCCTTACAAACCAAATTCCAGAAAGATGGCGCACGATCAAAATAGTACCAATTCCAAAAAAAGATAAAGACTTAAGTATTTATTCTAACTTCAGACCGATTGCCCTAATCTCTGTTTTTCTAAAATGTATAAACCTCTGTATTAAAGATAGAATCTCAACCTTTCTTGAGGAAAATGATAAAATACCTAAACAGTCTTTTGCTTACAGAAAGCACAGATCAGCCACAAACTGCATAAACTACTTTTTACACGAAGCGGCAAGACTTAAAAAACAAGGCCGAAAAGTCATCGTATGCACCTCAGATATCAGCAACGCCTATAACTGTGTTAGCATAATCAAGCTTAAAGAGATCATGACCCAGGTTGGCATCCACAGTGTCTACTCTGAATGGATTTGCAATTTTCTAGCATACAGAAAACTACAACTTGGCAAAGCGTCCATCGAAATACATGATGGTCTACCTCAAGGCAGTTGTCTCTCGCCATGTCTTTTCAACTTATACACCAGGGAACTGCATTCCATTCAGGATGCGAACACTAAGCTATACCAGTTTGCCGACGACTTCCTCATCGTGTCTCATCACGAAAACACTGATCTCGCCACCTCAAATCTGAGGCGCAAACTAAACGACTTCTCGGTGCTATGTTCT